GTTTCTTAATGAGCTTGTGCACCTGTTATGTGCATTTACCAGGAGCCTATAAATTGCGGTTTGCTTATGGAGAATTGTTTAACTGAAGTGTGCTTTTCTACTAATTTTATTGTTGCCGACCCCATTTTATTGAGTTTTCTTATGTGTTGGTAAAAAGCATTTACCTTATCGAATTTATTCATTAACTGCCTTTGCAGGATCAGCTGTATTTCCTAGGATTAATGTTCGGAACCCATACAAACTGCTAGGAATAAGCAAGGAGGCTTCTGAGGATGAAATTCAAGGTGCACGGAACTTACTTATTAGTAGATATGGGGGGCATAAACCTAGTGTGGATGCAATTGAAGAAGCCCATGACAAAATAATTATGCAGAAGTTCTATGAAAGGAGGAACCCAAAAATTGACATCAAGAAAAAGGTCAGGAAGTCGAACAATCCCGGGTTGTACAGGCCATGACAAGCAGATTCCAAACTCCAGCCACCAAGGTCATTGTAAAAACATCCTTAGCATTTTTAATTCTTGGGGTTCTCACTGTTTTCTTCCCAACTGAAGAAGGCCAACCCTGCAAGTAGCTATATCACTGTTAGCTACCTTCTACTTCATACATGATCGGTTGAAGAGGAAAATCCGAGCTCTACTTTATGGGTATATGATGACATTTCCACTGTTAACCTAAAATATAATAAGGTATCCCGGATATCTCTTTCTAAGGCATTTTCCTCTTAAATTTTTATTTTTGGTCTTCATATAATCCTGTTTCTTTTATCAGCCGTTACATATACTACTTGTCAAGAAGATGAATGTACCTAACCAGATCCTTCCAAACTATATGATGAATAATTAGCACCATACTTCATTCTATTCCCTATGATATCCCTCTTTTAAACGTTTTTCTTCCGAACCTGCTTTGCTGGTGAACCCTGAATCGTAACAACATTAACAGGCTTTAGTAATCAATTTATTTCTGCACTGCAGGGCTGGAGCTTTTATATTCTCCTGGTTGGTGGGAACCTTCTTGATGGTATCTGTGATTCCACCTATTCCGATTCTTAAGGGCCAGAGAAGTTTTGAAGTGTTGACGTCATTGATAACCTATGTGCTACTTTGGGTTTCTTCCACATATCTTAAGTAGTGCTAGAGCATCAGGTTTCTTATTAGACTCCCAATTTTGAAGTAGTGGATAACCACAGATTTTCTTGGTAGTAGCTCCTTGATCATGTTATATTAGCTTATGAGAGCTGTCATATTTCTACTTTGGACATTAATGTTAGTTGTGCTGAACGTATGACCAAAAGCACAGTTTGCTAGAAAAAAAAGATTTGTGGATAAATTACTTTTGTTGTCTGGTAAAAGATGTAAAACCAGTTCAAAGTAAAGCTAGGCTGTTGATTTTCTGAACTGTGGTTTCTTACATGCGTTTTTCTTTCCCTTGGTCTATTCCCCGTAATTGCGACAATGACTCTAAATCTTCATGGAATCTTTCTGCATCTCTTCTCTTTTTAAATTCTCAGAGGATTTGTTTGTGGGGTTGAAAATTAGAAAGAATGTGACACATCATTTGAACCACAATGATTCCTATAGTCCTCTGAAGAGATTTTCTCCTCCACAATCTGCTTCTTTGTTTATTTAGTTGCATTTTCCATAGGCATACAGCCAAATATCTTAACGGGGCCATTGATGTTACGATAGAATTGCTTGGTCATATGCTCACTTCTGCAACTTGAGGCTAACATTGATTCTATTACATCATTCTCTTTCATTTCTTTCAATTGTTAGAAAAGTTTGCACCTTGTCTTATGTCTGCAGAATTAGTGGCTACTGGTCAATGTTAACTCCAGGACACCTCTTGCATTGAAATAAGATGCATATTTTTGTTGCATACGGGACACGTACACGAAACAAGGGGCAGTTATTACTTTAGACCTTCATTTATTTATATTCATCTTCACTTACCATCGGCATGTATTGTAATCCGGAGAATGAAATACTTGATTTCTTATTAGAAAGAGAATGAATGCATCAAACTTTTTCTGAGCAGGAAGTTAATTTATTGGTTCACTAGGAGGAAAATATAAATATTCCCAAGTTAACGACCCTTTAGGGTAGTCGAATTTAGAATTTACATCTAAATGTTGCCTTTTGTGCGATTTTAGCATTGGTTTTGGTTTTACAAATTTAAGAAAATTCAACCTATTTATTTCAAGATAAGATTTCCACAAGATATGTACTCAAATCCCCCACCGTATATCAGCCACACCACTGCCAAACCAAGTTGCCACATAAGCATCCCCCATGTCAGTTGATAATTGGCCTACGTATAGCAGCCTCAAACAAGATATCTCTTGGCAAGTGCTAGGAACTATAATTTGTAGAATTGGAGCCTAAACGTTGTGCCGCAAAAGCTTGAACAGAGATAAGATAAAGCATTGAAAATACAAACAATGGCCTCTGCATCTCTCCTCACGACTTCACCTATTATAGACAAGTCTGAGTGGGTTAAGGGTCAGACCCTTCGCCAACCTTCAGCTCCTGTTGTGAGGTGCCACCCTGTTGCACCGTCTGGTCTTACCGTGCGTGCTAGCTCATATGCCGATGAGCTCGTCAAGACTGCAGTAAGTGTTATATAATTCTAATATGTAATACCTCCCACGACATGCTTAAAATATATGCACAATAATTTTACCGGTTGTTGGGTGTTTGTAGAAATCTATTGCCTCTCCGGGCCGTGGAATTTTAGCCATGGATGAGTCCAACGCTACCTGCGGGAAACGTTTGGCTTCGATTGGGTTAGAAAACACAGAGGCTAACCGTCAAGCCTATAGGACATTGCTTGTTTCAGCTCCTGGCCTTGGCAAGTACATCTCAGGTGCCATCCTCTTTGAGGAAACCCTCTACCAAACCACGATTGACGGCAAGAAGATGGTTGACGTTCTTGTTGAGCAGAACATAGTCCCCGGTATCAAGGTCGACAAGGTAAGTCACATGCCCCATTTGTGGACGAACATCTCTTATCTGTTGTTTAATTCTAAGTTGTATGAAGTATCTGTTACTTGGAGCTTGAGAGTATGAATCCTACAGGGTCTTGTTCCACTGGCTGGCTCAAACAACGAGTCATGGTGCCAAGGTCTTGACGGCCTCGCTCCACGTTCGGCTGCATACTACGAACAAGGAGCTCGTTTTGCCAAATGGTAAGATTTTATCCTTTTGGCCCTTCGAATATTTTTCAGTTTCCCATTCGCATTTCCCTTGTGGTATCCTTACAGACAAGCTATAAAAGGATTATGTACTTACATAATTCATTCGTTCTGTTTTTATAGGCGTACTGTGGTAAGCATTCCCGATGGACCATCTGAACTTGCTGTTAAGGAAGCTGCATGGGGTCTTGCTCGATATGCTGCCATCTCTCAGGTAAGATGAACTTGAGTTTTATCACAACACAGTCTCAACTGCAATTTCTTTTGCATTAGATAATCTTTTGGATGTTTGGTCATCAGGAAAATGGATTGGTTCCAATCGTCGAGCCAGAGATTTTGCTTGATGGTGAACACGGAATCGACAGGACGTTCGAAGTAGCCAAAAAGGTATGGGCTGAGGTTTTCTTCTACCTTGCCCAGAACAATGTGTTGTTTGAAGGTATCCTCCTCAAGCCAAGCATGGTCACTCCTGGTGCGGAGTGCAAGGACAAGGCTACTCCTCAACAAGTTGCTGATTACACCCTCAGCCTCCTCCGCCAAAGAATACCTCCGGCTGTTCCTGGAATTATGGTAATTGGCAATAAAACTCAAGTTTTTGACATGCTTAGAGGAAACATAGAAGCTAATGCCTAATTGGTTTTGTTTTATGGCAGTTTTTGTCTGGTGGGCAGTCTGAAGTTGAGGCTACCTTGAACTTGAATGCAATGAACCAAGCTCCAAGCCCATGGCATGTTTCATTCTCCTATGCAAGAGCCCTTCAAAATACATGCCTGAAGACGTGGGGAGGCAGACCTGAGAATGTGAAGGCTGCTCAGGAAGCGCTGCTCATCCGGGCAAATGCCAACTCTCTTGCTCAACTTGGAAAGTACACAGGCGAGGGAGAGTCGGAGGAAGCCAAGCAAGGAATGTTTGTCAAGGGTTATGTCTATTAGCTTGTCCGTATCTTTCAATAGCATTATAAATTTACTTGCACTGAAAATTTAATTGGAAGAGCAGACTACTGAACTTTCCATCATTATTAGAATCTTTTCGTTTTCTCCTTGTTTTCTGGTATAACGAATTTGATTATATCTTATCATGTAATGGAGAGTCTTACTTGTCCAGAAGTTGCTTCGACATGTGCTGTTGGCCTCCATCCTATCAGTTCCTATTGTTATAATCAGTGATCGATCTTCCTTCTCGCTATCAGTTTGTTTGCCCGTAAATAACTAAATTTAGAAAGAATGGCACGTTAGAGATCAGTTCTTTGCAATGAATTACATTCTTCTGTTTCTGGTATGAGCAATGAAAGGTGTCTGAAAACTTAACAACTATTCTAGTTCATGGAGAAGTGAAATAAGTTGACCAGCTATGGAGCAGTTAAGAGAAGGACAAATGAGGTCTCCCCAGGCTTCTGGCTTCCTAGTAAAATTTAAGCAAACAGAGACCAGGTCTGCTACTGCCGCTGAGAACATCGGTTTATTGTTCCTTCGGACACAAAAACAGACATCACAGATCAATTTCGCAAGCTTAAGAGAACTGTTTTGATGTATAGACAGAATTTAGACTAGATTTTATCCTTAAATATGCTTGTGTAATGTAGGTGCACATACATGTTTCGCATCAAGTACAGAATTTGTCAACAATAAAACAGGAAAAACTTACAGGAACCAAGACAAGCAACTGAACTAAGACATTTGAAGGATGACAGTTTCATAGAATGAAACATGTTTTGTTTTGTAACAAAAACAAAGCAGCAGCAGAGGCTGCATAATTGACATTTCACAAATGCCAGGCCAAGGCACAATATGACCATTTCTGTCATCCTTTTTGATATTATAGGTAGGCCATAGTCTTTTTTTTCTATTTTAGTACAATCAAAAGCCTCATTTAGGCTTACAGGGTATAGATATAATGCACAGGGATTACAACACTCAATCCCACAAACTTATTAAATACTATAACCAATACACAATTTGTTCATGCAAAACAAGACAGCAAATCATTGTAAGACCTGTGAAAACAATAGCAGCATAGGATAGCAGAGAAAAGAACGTGAAAGTTGTTCACAATCAACATTGGTCTGGTGCAATTTCAAAACGACATGTTGAGCATTTCCATGCTCAAGCTCTCCATCATCGCGTTTTCCATGAATCCACACTTAGCCGGTGCAGACTTGATGAAACTGCTTAGCCTTGGCTTGAATGAGCATGAAGAAAGGGGAACGATCGGAATGTTCTCGCAGTTGCAGAGCTCAACCATGTAACCATCTGGATCATGGAAGAACACCTGTTCAACCTTGTTCCCTTCATCTTCAACCAAGGCCGTGACATACTTCATTCCCATGTCTTCCAGCCTCCTTAAGACAAGGCCAACATCTGTACACTGTCATCAAAAACCGAAAACTTGTTAATGCTGCAGGTGGAGGCTTAGTTTCTGAAAGATTCAACTTGAATTCATATACTATACCTGGAACGATATGTGATTATCTTTAGGATTAATCGGTTGCGGTTCAGTGATAGTGCCAAAATCGTCGATAGATGGATTCTCGATTAAGTGTATCCCAATGCCGTAATTATACAACCTGCATAAAATCAGTTATTTAGTTTCCTATTCATTGAAAACTGGATTTATTGAAGAAAGGGAGGAGCAGAACTTACCAAGCTCCATTGAACTTGAAAGAAGAAGGGCGTTTGATGGGAACAAAGCCCAAAACTTGTTCATAGAACCGCATTGAATCCCAAACCGATCGGCACAACAATGAGACATGATTCAAAGACAGAAGTGGCAATGCCTCAAAGTTGTTTACTTCCACAGTGTCCATGTTCTCACTCTCACAATTTGCTTCTTCCTTCGTCTAATATCTCCACTTTGCATGATGACTAGGTTACTCTGCCTTGTGCTCCTTTTATAGAGAGAAACACAAACACCCCATTTTCTAAATTCAAATTCAAGTAATCACGAGGAACTTTCCTGGCAAATTCTCTTAACTTCTCAATCAGATACATAGACATTAGAATTTTTTTCTGATGTTCCTTTCACTCCATATCAATGTTATATACTTTCTGGTTTGAAGATTTTTGTGTGGATTCCAAGTAGCTAGTTACTTCTTTAGAACGCGTTTTGCACTAATCATTCCTCTCCAGAATTGCAAGAAAAAAACAAAGCTGTGCGGTTGAGCTTGTAGCCTAAGCTCTTTAAGGTTAGTGTTGAATTAGCTGCTGCTAAGATATCATGACAAATCCGTTATACTATATGATATTGATTCATTAGCGCCCAAAGATGGTGATTTTGAAACCTTAACCAAATTTCTTTGCGGTTTTAGTGTTTCTAGGAATCCTAAAGACAGAAAGTTACAAAGTTCCAAAAAGGTAAGAAATTTCTTTGCTGCTTCCACTTTACAACACGACATTATCCAAAAAGCGTCGGTGAAAGTTTAAGACCCCTCGATGAAATCATTAGGAACATTTTTTTCCAACGTGCTTGCCTCATGCACGGTTTTAAATTGCAGTGGCACAGCTGTGATGGTTTGTGCGTGAGTTGTGCAAGTGAGAAATACAAAGATTGATAGTTTGGGCAGAAGCTAGCAGCAGTCAGTATGCAATATTTATTTTCAAATAAGTGAAAAATCTATAACAACACAACTTTATAATAGGATATTTATTTTAAAACACTTATATAATATATACAACAAATATTGCATTGCAATTTGGTATTTACATCTTTATCATCCCCAGCTCCATGCATGGTGATCACATCACATAGTTAGTTGCTAATACAAAATTACCCCAACACTATACATCGTTGAATTGTTAGATTTAGGTTGGATTTATAATTTTTTACAGTTTATATCATTTCAATTTTAGGGTAATTCAATTGAGTTTAAACGTTAGTAAGCTTTTGAGGTAAGATGATTTTGGATTAAGGTATTTTAAGTTTATTCATTAGATTTATCATTCAATTTCACGTTATTTTAGTTAATTGTTTTGGTCACTGTGAGTTCAGGGTAATTTGAGTTTAATTCATTTATGCTTCATATTGGGACGGTTTGAATTATTATTATTTATTATCAATTTAGGTTGGATTGGATTCATATTTGAATTGAATAGATTAAGTTCAGATCATTTCTAGTTTAATTTGAGTTTAAATTATTTTCGATGCGAGTCACCTCTAGATTAGAGTATTTTCAAGTTTGAATTATTGAGACAAGATGGACATTGTTATATCGAGTTAATCTTCTTCCATGTTTATACAAGATAGTGTTGAAAATATTTTGATATTTCGATATAACAAATTAAGATAAATGAATTTTAAGATTTTCCAAAAAGTTTTTCTAAGTATATTCAATATAATTATTCAAATATCAAAATATTACTCCAAATCTTTCAAATGTCATTTTTAATCCTTACTCAAGTGTAAAATTAAGTTTTAAACTTAAAATAATTTCAAAACAATTTTACAAAATATTTCGAACCATTTCAAAGCCAAAAATTCCAGATTGCTCAGAGGGAACCGATTCTCCCCCAAGGGGGTACCGATTCCCCCTGAATGGTTTGGCTCCGATAAAAACAGAATGCTCGGAGGGAACCGGTTCCCCTAAGGGGTATCGATTCCCCCTATTTAACGGTCGAAATATTTGAATTTTACACTTAGGGAATCGATTCCCTATGAGGGGTACCGATTCCCTATGAGGGGTACCGATTCCCCCCACGCTCCAAGCAGAAATATTAATTGTTTTCACACTTAAACGGCTCCAATAACTTCATTAATGATCCCCAACGTTCAGAAGTAATTCAAGGAGTATTTAAACAAGCTTAAGCCTTTGATCAATAACAATTTTATAAAGAATCAAGAGAAAATCAAAGAGAAAGCATCAGACCTCAAGTTTGAGCAATTCAATCCATTTTTCATTCAGTATTCATCTTTGCTTTCAAGAACACTACTTGTACTCAATTGTATTCATCTTTGAATGTTATTTTCTTTGTTCTAGAATTGTGCAAATATCTTTCCTTATGAGGATTTCCTTGTAAGTTTGCAAATTTGTAATCTTCTCTTTGAGAAAGAGTGTTCTCAAGAATTGGGGTATATTCTTGAGGGAGTTGTAAGGTTATCTCTTTGGCCTCAAAAGAAAGAACAAATTAGTGAATTTGTTGGAAAATCCTTAGTGTGGATAGCTAAGGTAGTGGACGTAGACTTTGATTGAGAAAGTCGAACCACTCTAAATCGCTGTGCAATTACTTTCAATTTTCTGCAAAAGCTTCCACAAAATTTTAATTGCCAATTCACCTCATCTTGGCCGATTCCGTCGATCAATTAACTCAACAGATAGACATATATTGTATAGACAAGATAGGTTGCATTTCAGATATGTTGCTATTCTCCTTAGAAGAATGTTTTTCATCATTTGTATTTTTGAACAAATATCTCAAAAAATTTCAAATCCGACAAAATTTCCAACACCCAATTGATGGGTTTTTATGTTCAATTTTGAAAGTTTAAAAAAATCTAAATTGATGAAGTGATAGAAGATGACAATGTGAGTTTCTCGGTATACACGATGGTCGTAAAAAAACGTTGAAAAATGATGATTCTCAAAGACTATTAAAAATGGAGGGAAGAGGTCTAAGTCTGATGATGAAAATGATTTAATGGTCCAATTATTAAAACCCAATTTGATTAGTTTAATGACAAAATTGAATTTTTTTATAGTCTACTGACCAAAACTAAACAAATCCTAAAATTCAATGATTAATTGTTTGCGTGTCGTAAAAATCTATATAATTAAAAATTCAAATATATATAAATTAAATTTTATTCGTTTTTAACAAATACACAATTTGATCATGAAAAAAACAAGACACCAGCCCATTTGCAAGACCTGTGAAAACAATTGTAGCATATAATTGCAGCAAAAAAGAAAGTGAAAGTTGTTGACAGCTTTCGTTTCTCCGGTGCAATTTCAAAACGACATGTTGAGCATTTCCATGCTCAAGCTCTCCATCATCGCATTCTCAATGAATCCGCATTTAGCGGGTGCAGACTTGATGAAACTGCTTGACCTTGGCTTGAATGAGCATGAAGAAAGGGGAATGATCGGAATGTTCTCACAGTTGCAGAGCTCAATCATGTAACCATCTGGATCATGGAAGAACACCTGTTCGACCTTGTTGCCTTCGTCTTCGACCACGGCCGTCACGTACTTCATTCCCATATCTTCCAGCCTCCTTAAGACCAGACCTACATCAGTACACTGTCATCACAAACAGAAAACTTGTTAATGCTGCAGGTGCAGGCTTAGTTTCTGAAAGATTCAACTTGAATTCATTTACTAATACTATACCTGGAATGATATGTGATTATCTTTAGGATTAATCGGTCGTGGTTCAGCGCTAGTGTCGAAATCGTCGATAGATGGATTCTCGATTAAGTGTATCCCAATGCCGTAATTATACAACCTGCAGAATACCAGTTGTTTGGTTTTCTGTTTCTTTGAAAACTGGATCCGTTGAAGAAAGGGAGAGCAGAAAGCTTACCAAGCTCCATTGAACTTGAAAGAAGAAGGGCGTTTGATGGGAACAAAGCCCAAAACTTGTTCATAGAACCGCAGTGAATCCCAAACTGATGTACACAACAATGAGACGTGATTCAAGGACAGAAGTGGCAATGCGCCCTCGAAGTTGTTTACTTCCACTGCCACAGTCTCCATTTTCTCACTTACACTTTGCTTCTTCCTTTCTCTGGTATCTCACTTTGGATAACTGCCCTTATGCTCCTTTTATATAAAGAATCATCCATTGATTATGAGGAACTTTCCTGATCTTACTTCCAAATCAGATACATATGTTTTTGAACATTATGTGGATTAGAAGTAGCTAGTGAATTTTTTAGAACGCGTTTTTTGTACTGATCATTGATATGCAGAAAATCAAGTTGCAATAAAAAAACAAAGATGTCTGGTTTAGCTTGTAAGCTCAATGTTGAAGATGGTACAAAGATGAACGACAAGTCTATTCTACTATGACTCATTTGAGCCCAGAAATTGTGATTTTGAAGGCTACAACCAAACAAACATCAAGGGGAAGCAGTGCCCTTTTAGTCTCTTGAGTAATCCTAAAAACAGAAGGTAGAAAGTTCCAAAATGATGAGAAGCTTCTTTGCTGTTTCCCCCTTTACTATCGAAGACATTGGTCACCATTTTTTTACAAAACAGTAACTAATGTTATATTAAGAATAACGATAATAATATAATTGATCAAGCAGATGAAGATGTTTATATTATCTTATTTTATATAAATTTAAATTATTATATTTATTTTGAAAATATAGCACCTTTTCATTTAATAAAAAAATTAATAATACCATTTTTATTAATAAGATTATAACACTATCTTATTGATGAATTAAAATTAAGTTAAATATTACGCTAGAAAGGTTTAAACTTGAAACCTCTTTTTTTTAAATATTCAATTCTAAACCGTCCCATCAAATTAAAAATTTATTATATAATCGATAAATATAATATTTAATTTGAATCGTAATTAAAATTAATTATATTTATAATATATATTAATAAAAGAGAAAATCGCCTCAGTGACCAAAAATGCCTTATAATATACGATTTTAACCAACTTTTTCCGGATTTGCCAAAATGACCAACAAAATCGCAATGCGATCGCTAATTCGCAACGCGATCTCCATTATCGCAAATTCGCGTTGCTTTTCGCGTTGCGATAGTTGGAAATCGCGTTGCAATGGTCTACAGTGTCGTTGCGATTTTCCCAATTCGCAATGCGAATAAGTAAATCGCAACGCGAATTGGGAAAATCGCAATGCGATACTGACTATCGCAATGCGATACTTACTATCGCAATGCGATAATACAAAATCGCAACGAGATACTGACTTTCGCAACGCGATTCTGACTTTCGCAACGCGATAATACATAATCGCAATGCGATTTTCAAAGCGCCATTAGTATCCTGGCCAAGTATTTTATTTTTAAATTCCAAACACGAATATTAATATATTGGAACACTGAACCGTCCACAGTATATCCCGTAATCGCAACTCATAACCTAAAACCTAAAATCACAACTCAGTCCCATCTCCATCTCTCACTCTCTCACCCATCTCCGACGAAATCCATCCCCATCTCCGGCGAAATCCGTCTATCTCCATCTCTCAGAGCCACCCTCACAATCAGAAATGGAAAATCAACCAAATCAACCAACGAGGGTTAGTTTTTTTAATTATTTTCTTTTTGAAATTTTTGCATTATTATTAGGTTTTTCATATTGAAATTGATGATAAGTTTACTGGTAATTTCAATAATAGATTAACCATTTCACTTAGATTGCTTATTATTAACCGAGAATCGCAACGCGAAATGAAAATCGCAACGCGATTTTAGTTTCGCGTTGCGATTCTCTCGTTGCGATAGTCAAATTCGCATTGCGATAGTAATTTTTGTGTTGCGATTTTCATTTTCAGAAACTATTCTTCTTCTGCAAATTGAAACTTGAATGAATTGCATTACTTCAACCAAAAAACAAAGACAAATAAGAAATTCACAGTGTTGCAAATTTAAGTTTGAAGAATAAACTACTACCCTTTATGTTTATTATTGTTTTTGGTATATCTTCACAGTGTAGTTTTTGGTATATCTAACTTAGTATGTTTATTGTTTTTGTAGAACTTTTATTCGGCTCAATTAACCTTAAGAAATAAAGTCAGCCTGGCCAAAACAATTGCGTCGAAGCTTTCACCTGCACAAAGAAAAATGTTTGAGGATACTTGCTTCGGGCCATGGCTGAAAGTACAACATCCCGGTGGAGATGCGATGTTGACACACCTATTTCTTCAAACCATGACTAGGGATCTACCAGATACTATACAACGTCGTGATGAAGAGATATGGTTTGATTTTCCACCGGCGTATACGTGTTTTGGGCGGGAGGAGTTTTGCTTAATCACCGGTCTACGCTTCGGACACGATGATGTAGGTCGGTACACTAGACATATTACCCGCCCATCATGGTTATCCCGGGTTTTTCCTGAGCTGGAGAGGCCGAATCTACACGTGGAAGACCTGACGATATTATTGAATAAGAAAGATGGTTTTACTCGGATGGATGACATCGACGTTGTCCGAGTATGCCTTCTAATTCTTTTGCATGCCGGCTTTTTAGGCAAAGAGGCCAGACAACCTATTCCAAATGATCTAATCAAATTGGTAGAAGACCTAAATGCGTGGAACCTGTTTCCGTGGGGCTCGTATTTATGGAAAGCTACATGGAATAAGTTATCGTCTGCCTTGGATGATCGAAAAAGTTTGCATGGCGATGGTTCCAAATACACTTTGACAGGCTTTATTTGGGCCTTTAAGGTAAGAATTTTTATATAATGTTTCCAAAATTATAAGTAATTATTTAACAATTACTAATGTTTGTTATTATATTGTTTGTAGATTTGGATATTTGAGGCCTTTCTCGCCATGAAGACATATGCAATAAAAACTTCAAATAATATTCCCAGGGCTATTTCCTGGAAGAGGAAACGGACCTTGCAATGGGAAGATTTACTACGGTATACGACAATAAATAATGTAAGTTAACATAAATACTACCATATGTTTATAAACAAGTTATTACTAGTACACGTTTCACTTTGTTTGAGCTTTTATATTGTTAGGAGGCCAACACTCCTCTACAGAGGCTGACACCCATGGAAGCTGAGCTTGCCACTGATTGGTGGCAAGCTAGTAAGCGTTTTTTTGATGGAACGGTTGATGAGCAGCCTCCACTTCGGGAGCCATCACCTCACCCAGAGCTATCACCTCACCCAGAGCCATCATCTAATCGACCCGGCTATACACCTCCACAACGACAGCCATCACCTATTCTGTCACATCATCGAGCCTCTTCTCCACCATCACCGCAAGATAGGTGACCGGCAAAGATGCCACGACGTTTATCTCCCTGTTCTCCACCTCCACCTCAACGGGATGAGTTAGGGGAGTTACGTGATGAGGTCAATGCCTTGCGTGAGGAGGTCGGTACTTTACGCAAAGATGATGGTGCATGGCGTGTTGAGGTGTCTACATTACGCGGTGAGGTAGCCGCTCTACGTGAGATGGTATCATCGTTGCAGAATGAGGTTCATACTCTACACAACGAGGTAAGTTTAAGATTTTTCATACTCGTAATTCATTCGGTTGCTGTTAATACTGCTAAACTGTTTTTGTTAGTATTTGTTTTTGGTTTTGTTTTTGTCTTTTGGTTGAAGTAATGCAATCCATTCAAGTTTCAATTTGCATAAGAAGAATAGTTTACTTTCGCAACACGAAAATGACTATCGCAACGCGGAAATGGCTATCGCAATGCGAAATGAAAATCACAACGACAAAATCGCAATGCGAAATGAAATCGCAACGACAAAATCGCAACGCGAAACACAAATCGCATTGCGATTTTCATTTCGCGTTGCGATTTTGTCGTTGCGATTTCATTTCGCATTGCGATTTTGTCGTTGTGATTTTCATTTCGCATTGCGATAGCCATTTCCGCGTTGCGATAGTCATTTTTCGTGTTGCGATTTTAAGTTTCGTGTTGCGAAAGTAAACTATTCTTCTTCTGGAATGTTTATATATGTTGTCCTTTTAAATGTTTATATAAGTGCTTACTTCTGGAATGTTATCTGAGCATTTTGTGAACTATGATAGAATAATGACTTGGGTGAATACAATGCTAGTTTGAAACATATTTGTCTTTGTTTAATATCATGTCTGTTTATTTACTGATTTATGTATTAATTTTTTTTAGCGGCCCGATAAGGTGGATGCTTTACGTCGGGTTTTCCTTGCACGACAGAGTTCACGCATCAGACGGCGTGGACGTGCTATTACGTCTCCGTTCACCCCAATGGTGCGAAGACTCCGCAAGAAGAAGCCCGACTCACCGGTCATCCCTCAAGAGTCCCCTCCAATCGTTCAAAAGGCCTCTATCCTCCCTCAAGATTCCCCCCCACCGTTCAAGAGGCCACTGTCATCGTTGAAGAGGTTCCTCCCACCATTCCAGAGCCCGATTCACATGGGGTAATATATCGAAGTATTGAGAAACCCCCACCGGTTTCGGACATGATGGATGAGAGTTGGCTCTCGTATGAGTTACCGGCTAGTACCCTTCCGGTATCTGAAGTGGAGAGGAGACAACTACCGGAAACAATTGTGGATAATACCCTTTAGGCTAAGACCGCAGTTGATTTTTATCTACATGAGCGGAGCCAAGGGTGTTACACTGACATCAACAAACTCAACGATGAAATGTTTTTGTTGCTTGATCGGTCTTGGTGGGGTGTGCTATTAGGGGTTGAAGACAGTGGCTATTTGGATGGGGAGGTAAGTCTTATATTTGTCTTATATATGATTTTGATTAATTTGTTTAAAAATTAATGTAATTCACTAATATATGTATTTTTTTAAAACAGCATATCGATGCGTGGGTGTCACGTCTACTAATAATAAGGAAGCTTAGGAAAAATAAAAAAAATTCGCTATATACAATAATGCCGGCGGCTTTTCACGCAGTTCACTTGAAGAATCAACGAGATGAATCATTTTCGTTGGGCAATGGACAAGCTAAACTTTATCCTGCATGGTGGGAGGTCGATAAGGTTAGTGTTTATTTTTTTAAATTTTTTAAAGGTGTTCATAAATAAGTGCGCAAATAAATGAATTATTACTTATGATTGCAGGTGTTTATCCCTGTTTTGGAACGTCGTCACTGGCTTCTCGTCCAACTTCAGCTCCCATCCCTGAAGATAATAGTGATGACAGCATGATCAATTACATATCACTGTCTGATTTGAGAGATATTTTCAAGGGATGGAGCTCTCATTTGGCTAAATTCTTGGATGGGATTAATTATTGGACTCATTCTGGACACAAGAAGCCAAAGAAGTTCAATGTCACAGTTGTCAGAGACGAGACCGCGCCACAGCAATCGCCGGGAGCCAGAGGGGATTGTGGTCCTCTCGTATGCCTTTGCTTGGCGCGTTTGACGACGGGAAGCACAGAGTTTTTACCTCCCACCGATAGAGATAGAGCTGCAGTAGGCTTGTGGTTTCGGCATTATATGGCTAGAGCAATATATTCGAGACGCTGCCTACCTGCATCCGCGTTATGAAAGTGTCCATTGTTAATTGGTAAGTCAAATGCAAGTTTTGTTAACATATATACTCCTTTTGGTTTTAAAATGTTTGGTTAAGTACCTAGAATTCAATAATTTGTTGTTTGTAGGTTTTAGATGTGTAAGAAGTCTTGTTTGAGCAAATGTTTGGTTTCTGCAGGTTAATCCTTAAGTGAGCTGCGTGAAATGGATGTACGGGGTCACAAAGTTGTTGATTCATTGATTCAATAATTGATGAAGAAATAAGAATTATTATTTTTTGATTGTTTAATTGATTTGTAAAAGATGATTTGTAAATGTTGATTTGTTTAATTGATGTGTACATAATTCTTATTTGTGTTGAAATGTAATAGTTGATTTGTTGATTTTCAATCTGTATTATGTTGAAGGCAAAACAGACTATCGCAACACAAAACTGACTATCGCAACGAGAGAATCGCAATGCGAAATGAAAATCGCAATGCGAAATGAAAATCGCAACGAGAAAATCGCAATGCGATTTTCATTTCGCATTGCGATTTTGTCGTTGTGATAGCCATTTCGCGTTGCGATAGCCATTTTCGCGTTGCGATAGTCAAATGAATGTCTAATAAGTGATAACAACTGAACATATCATAGCAATGTTCAAACTCAAGTTACTAATACATGGCTAACTGAAAATGTTAAAAGTGCACACATAAAATACACATAATGCAAGTTTTGTTAACATATATACTCCTTTTTCATTTCGCATTGCGATTCTGTCGTTGCGATTTGCATCTCGCATTGCGATGGTCAAATGATTGCCTTTCGCAACGCGATTCTGACTTTCGCAACGCGATTCTGACTTTCGCAATGAGATAATACAGAATCGCAATGCGAGTTTCAAAGTTCGCAACAGGTTTTAGTTTCGCAAGCCAAATTTTTTGTGTATATATCTACGCAGCAGCAACAACTCATAACCTAAATCCCTAAATCGCAACTCATTCCATCTCCATCTATCACTCTCTCCGTCGACATCCGTTCCTATATCCAACGACATCCTTCCCCATCCGGCAATAGGTCTTAGTTTCGCATCTCGTTTGTTTAGTAAATTAATTTACATCCATGAAATCATCTAATGTTGATCATGTTTGGATAGATTTGTGTTTTGGAGGGTCATGGGAGAATGTTCATGGTGTTTTACAATATATGCCTTTACCCATGAATCTTCAACTAAAACTGTCATTAAAGAAGTTAACTTATGAAACTCTAATGTTACGTGTTTCAAAGAAATTGAATTTAGAGCCCCTAAGTGGATTTAGGCTATCTTATCAGAGAAATGGTAAAGTTTATTTGTTAACCGACAATGAAGATGTTGAACGATTCATTGCTTACATTAATGTTTCAAGTGATGATGTTACATTGTATGTTGTTGAACCTAGAAGTAGTATTGTTGGGTCAGTAGCAGGTAGTAATCAACTAAGTGGGTCTCAAAACCCACAACCTTTCTATAATCCAAATCCAAATCAACTTTCTGCACCAAATTCCGGTTTTCGTATTGACCAATTAGACGATGATGAGCCAAGAGAAAAAATTGTGAGTACTAGTCAATATTCGAAATTTGATCTTGGTCAATACCCGGACTTTGATATTGGTCAATACTCGGATTTTGATGGTGTTTCAGAAGAAGAAACAGACCCTGCGTGTAATGATTTTGATATTGGTCAATACCCGAATTTTGATGATGAAACACCCGTTGCCGAGGAAGATGTTGTTGATGATAATGAGGAGGAAGTTACGACTGTGAATGAACATGTTGAACATCCATTCTGTAATTCATATAATCCTGAAGAAGAAAAAGAAGAAGAAAAAGTCCCCGAAGAAAAGAAAATGCCACGGGAGTATAACTGGAATATGCCAGAATTACTTCAGCTACCGGAAGAAGAGTTGGCAAAGAAAACAGTTGATTGTTACACAAAAGTTATTCGTATCAAGAAAGATGATTGTTTTGATACAAAGGAAGACTTGAAGATAGCTTTGTATACGAAATGTGTGGAAGATGGCTATCAACTAAAAGTTAACAAATCAAGCAAAGATCGTTTCGAAACAAGGTGTATGATTGACAAAAACTGTACGTGGCGTATGATTGCAAAGAGGATAAAAGATTGCGAAATGTTTCAAGTTAGGACTTTTATTGATAAACATACATGTTCAAGAACCCAAGTTTTTCCTAACCATAGACATGCAAACAAAAAGGTTTTGGGTGGTTTTCTGGCTGAGTTAATGTTTTTGAATGGCATGGTATATCGGGGACATGAAATTATGACTGACATGAATGCTCGGTTCAAGATTAGTATATCATATTCTCAAGCTTGGAGAGCCAAATGTTATGCCTTGGAATTGTTGAGGGGGTCGCCAGAAGCATCGTTTGCCCAACTGCCGGCTTATTGTCACAATTTAAAGCTGAAAAATCCTGGGTCGGTAACTCATATCAAAACAGATAGAGATGGACGCTTTGAGTTGCTGTTTATCGCCATTGGTGCTGCGGTTAGTAAATCAATATAATTCTGTTGACTCATTTCTGTTAGTTACATGCATTTCACATTTAAATGATTATATTTCTTGTGTATATTATTTTGTAGATTCGTTCGTTTATTACTTGCATGCGCCCAGTTATTATAGTTGACGGAGCACATTTGAAAGGTCAATACCTTGGAGTAAACTTATTAGCAGTAGCCATGGATGCTAACAATGGGATATTGCCAATAGCTTACGGGGTTGGCAAATCTGAAACCTCTGATTCATGGACATGGTTTATGGGGCATCTTAGGGATTGCATAGGTCCTATTAGCAATCTGACAATCATATCCGATAGGGCAAACTCAATTGACAACGCTGTTAGAAGGTGTTTCCCAGATGCTTTTCATGGACTTTGTGGTGTTCATTTGTATAAAAATCTAAAATCAAGGTCTGCTGGTATAAAAAAGCACAAATGGACATACTAGAAGGCTGTAAAGGCTTATCGGGAAGTGGATTTCAATAAGCATATAAACTGTTTAAGACGTGTTTTTCCTCAGTGTGCTCAAACACTAGAAGATGTCGGGTTTGAAAGATGGTCAAGAGTACATCAACTTGGAGCAAGATATGGTTTCATGACGTCTAATAGTGCAGAATCAATCAACGCTCTAAGTCGACATTCCCGGAAATTACCCATTACTATGTTAATGGAGTTTTTTCGAGCCTCTATTCAACAGTGGTACTACAAGAAAAGAAACCATGCAGGTATTATTTCTTTGAATTCGTAACTTATCATATATTTTACTAAGTATTATTTATTTAAATTTACAGGAACATTAGAACATCGTGTTACACCATGGACTGAAAAAAAGATAACGAAACGTGTTGTGAAGTCAACGTCATGGAGAGTTGAACCATGTTCAAACACTTTGTTTGAAGTACTGGATAATAACTTAAATGGGCTTGTCGATCTAAATCAAGGACGTGTAGTTGTATGAAATGGAAAACATCTGGTTATCCGTGTGGCTATGTTATAAAAGTTGCTCTTCATCTAAACCAAGATGATTCAAGCACATACGCTATGGATTGCTACAATACAGAAGTATATCGACAGACTTATGCTGAGATTGTCTACCCTATTCCACATCCTTCTGAGTGGGACATACCAGATGACTTACAAACAGTTTTGCCACCAGCCATGGACAGAAGGCTACCTGGCCGACCAAAAAGTCACGATCGTATACCGTCTAAGGGTGAAGAGAAGAAGAGATCGACATGTAGTCGGTGCAAGGAAAGTGGTCATACAAGGTTGACATGTGGATCACCAGTGCCATCACAATCATCTTTTCCTCTACCAAAATATGGATCATCATCAAAATCCAAAGCTCATATGGTGTCAAGAAAAAGGCAATCAAAATCGCAATCATCTTTAAAATCCCAATCACAACTGGCTTCACCTTTTGGGACTGTTAACTTAGGTGATTTTTAAATGCAAACGTTGTATTATGTAGATTTTATGTGTGAACTTTTAACATTTTCAGTTACGCATGTATTAGTAACTTGAGTTTGAAAATTGGTATGATCTGTTCAGTTGTTATCACTTAATAGGCAATCATCTTAATGTCTATCGCAACGCGGAAATTACTATCGCAATGCGAAATGAAAATCGCAACGAGAGAATCGCAATGCGAAATGAAAATCGCAACGCTAATTTCGCAATGCGAAATGAGAATCGCAACGAGGGAATCGCAATGCGAAATGAAAATCGCAACGCGAATTTAATTTCGCGTTGCGATTTTCATTTCGCGTTGCGATTTTCATTTCGCATTGCGATAGTACTTTTTGCCTTCAACATAATGCAGATTGAAATCAACAAAATCAACCATTACATTTCAATCAATTAAACAAGCACAAATAAGAATTATGTTAACATCAATTAAACAAATCAACTTTTACAAATCACCTTTTACAAATCAATTAAACAATCAAAAAATAAGCAATAATTATTAGAGAAAATAACACTTCTACTATTGAATCAACTTTTGCAGCCATACATCATTTTCACGCAGCTCACTTCTGAGATTAACCTGCATAAACCAAACATTTGCTCAAACAACACTTTCTACACATCTAAAACCTACAAACAACAAATTATTGAATTCTAGGTACTTAACCAAACATTTTCAAACCACAAGCCTATAAACATACCAATTGTTTATGGACATTTTTATAACGCGGATGCAGGTAGGCAGCGTCTCGTATATATCGATCTAGCCATATAATATCGAAACCACAAGCCTACTACAGCTCTATCTATATCGGTGGGAGGTAGATACTTTATACTTCCTGTGATCAAACGGTCCAACGCCAAGCATACGAGAGGACCACAATCCCCTCTGGGTCCTTTCGTTTGTTGTGGTGCGGTCTCGTCTCTGCTAACTGTAATATTGAGCTTCTTTGGCTTCTTGTTTCCAGAACGAGTCCAATAATTTATCGCATCCAAGAATTTAGCCAAATAAGAGCTCCATCCCTTAATAATATCTCTTAAATCAGCCAATGATATGTAATTTATCATGCTGTCATATACTATTGCCTTAAGGGATGGGATCTGAAGCTAGACGAGAAGCCAATGGTTACGTTCCAAAACAGGGATAAACACCTGCAATCATAAGTAATAATTCATTCATTTACGCACTTATTTATGAATACCTTTAAACTCAATCTAAAATAAACAC